GAAACAAAGGAGGAACAGAATGGTCTTAGATGGATCCACAGCAAGTCATCCTACAGTGCCAAAATGTGGTGGCAGCATTCCAAGCGCGTTGCTGAAGATTTGAACAAAACAGACTGTTATGTTTGTACTCATGTTCCTACTTCTATGAATACAATATGAATTGAAAGATGCTGATGTTTTTATGTTTAACAGGGGGGATATGTTAGAGTTATGATTATAAAATTATGCTACATTTCTGTGCTGTGATTCAGTCAGGAGGGTCGTAGACTTTTGTGACCTGCATCCTGCTATCCTGTGATCCAGCCATTGGGTCATGAGGCAAAGTCACACGGTTACATCCTGCTGTGATTCAATCATTACTGGGTTTTCTGTTTAAGACCCACCCTATTATGTTGTAAACTGTTAATAAAAGGCTTTGCTGTGAAGGGATCTGTGAGAGAGGGCGCTGTTTTCTGAGCCAGCAGCTTCTCTCCCCTACTGCAGAGGTTAACAACATCCCTATTCTGTGTGGACTCAGTTTCTTTTTATCATGAACCTACAATTTTGAACGTAACACAAAGTACATTCAGGAAAATAAGCTACAGGTTTATAGATGCATCGACACTGAAATACTAAGGTGTCAGTCTGCTGATGAGTTTGTCATGAAAGGTCAAATAAAAAGGCTATTTTAAATACATTTTACAGGTAAAAACGTACATAATGTATCTTTAAGTCAAACTGTTGCTAGGCTAACGCTTAGCAGATGTTGATGGAAATAAAAAATAGTCTAAGACTTTTTTAACAAGAAATTGAGACACCATTTTTCATTGAAGCAGCATTTTATTAATCCTTGGAAGGGAGAACGGATTCAGTTTTTAACCAGTTTCTGCCTGTTCTAGTCACACAGGATTTCACTAACTACTTAAAAAGCACAGGGAGAGATTCTCACTGACAAAGTAGACAGTTCCCCACAAACAGGATCGTTTAAATAAGCTTGTCTAGCAGGTGATTTGCAAGACTTCATAATATAAAAATCATCACTCATGAAAATATTATGTAGGAATGTGATAAATTTATTATTCTGACCAAATAGATCATTTGTCATTCATTGCACGCTGTTATACTTTCGTTATGCTGCCATTTTCAACACAACTTTAAGTTATTGTGATATGAAACTTTACTGTTTTTTTTCCAACACATACAAACATTTACAACCACATACATGAACATAACTTTTCATAACTGCAAAAACATAAAACTGTGTTACTACATCCAGTGCCCATGTAGGACCTGTAGTAAAACTGGCATTTGCTACTTTTCAGCTGGTATATTCCACTTTTTGCATATGCATTTCCAAAATTGACATGACAGATACAGTCTTTTGGCTTTCAGTCTGTAACCAACTCAGGGTCTCAGCAGATCAAGCAGAGACATAAACTTAGCCCTGAAGCACTGATCAAGGAGTACCATCTGTGTTAGAGAAAAGTTGATAGTAGTAACTCCCGTTAAAAGCGGCATGTTCCAGTTGATGAAGTGGCTTCATCTCAGAGCCTTAACCTTTTCATGTTCACTAACACCCTACAAAGCTACAAACATTTTAATAATCAAAAGGAGTTAACTATAATCCTCTGTTTGCAGCCAGGTTTCAGGGAAGACATAATAAATTAACCTGATTAACAGAAAATCGAATCATGAACTGAGTTTTTGAGGCAGCTGTTCATAAGACAGGACCATAGGAACATCACATGTAAACTTTGGATCTTTCTCTGACTCATTACTGACATAGTTGCAGTATTTTCACATAACTGTTGACTTCATTCATGAACTGCATTTATATTGATCTCAAGTTGTTTTTATTTTTTCATCCGAAGAGGAAAGAGA